TCTCCGGTGATTTTTACAAATTGTTATGTTACATGTTGGTTTCAACTAAATGATATTTATTTATTTTAGATTTATTTATTAGCAGCTCCACCTTCTAATAAAGTTACAGCATTATTTAGAATTCATTTAAATTATATGAATGGACCTCTTTTGGCATTTATTTTCCCAGAGACCGAAAGTAGAATGGTAATGACAACAGTGTTTTAATATATTTATAATATATCGGCAAATAATAATTTAATTAATTCTCAGATTCCAATGGAAGCAGCAATTTATTGGATTCAACATTTTTTAATGTTAGTAGTGCCTTATTACCTCCTGAGACTTGGAGGTATTCTACATATTATTAAAAATTTACGAATAATGGTTAATTTATTATAAGCAAATTAAATAGTCTTATTCTAAATGAAATCAACAAGTAAATTATTCAACATATTATGATTTAGTTAAAAGATAAATTAATAATTGAGTGCTATTGAAAATGTGGAAACTATTGGAAATTATAGCACCCAACAGATTTTGGTAATACTTGTATGTAAATAATATAAAATTTGATTTATTTGTAGGTGTTTATAATATGGAACCCCTACGTGATTTAAGTTGGAATTGTTTATCATATGGTTTAATCTTAATATATCACTTTGTAATATTACAAGGTTTTGCAATAGTAAGTATTCATATAAAAAATAGTAATGTTATTGCTATCATTTATAATCCATTGTTATTTCTTTTTTATAGCCAACACAAGTTAATTTGAACCATATGCTATGTCCAGCAATATTAGATCCATTTCAAGGTCCATATTATCGTTTGATTGCATCTGCCCACCAAGCTCTTTTATGTCCATTATTGTGTAAACTATTTTACATTAGTGCAAATTATTTACTTACAAAATTTAGTTATACCAAAGTAAAGCCAAAGTTGGAAAATGACCTGACAATATCAACTTTCAAGGAAATTGGACAAGGTGACAATATATGTGTCTGTAAGACAGATAATATAAATCAAAGAAATGGTAAAACACATATAGATTAAATGACTGGTAATTGGTTGTGGTAATTCATTTCTATATTAACATACTTAGTTAGAATTAATTTTAACAAATAGGAACAATTGATAATTCTCGATCTCATTATAATAGTTAGACACTTTATTGGTTAGACATGTAGTCAATTCTAGGGAAGTTGCAATGCATGGCTACTTACTAACAATATTTACAAAAATAATCCTAGCTTAGTTTAGATTCGAAATTGCATTCCAAATATGTTTTCACTATGAAAACCGGTGCATATAAAGCTCACATGTAAATGTATTTATATGTGTATATGCATATATTTATATATACGATAACATTTAAATTTTAAATTTTTCAAGGTACTGATTGCTATCAATGACATGGAATATGTATATTATTTAGTTTTGTAATTTTAATTATATATTCGAATTAACATATTCTGTTCAGATGCTATTTACCAAAGTTCATGTATAATGAAGACCAAAGACTGTTTTCAAGTGATATCTTTTCATAAATACATTTCATGCTAGAGCTTAACTCAATAGCAAGTTTAAGAATTTCACTCTGAACTCAATGAGCATGAAAAAATAAGTCTGTACAGTAGACTTATTATCGAGTATACGAAAGCTTCTTATTTATTTGCATCTATATCATAGTTTTCCTCATATACATGAGGCATATAAAAATGACTGGTAAAACTTCTTTAAACTTTACTGATATAATTTTTTGATGTAAAATTAGCTTCGATTGATATTTAATTTAGAATGCTGACTTCATTTAAATTAATTTCGAACAATTTTTGGTATGATAGTGAATAAACTTTCAATGAAAAAAGTTAAATAATGTTCATAGTGCCATCAATTTTTTTTCTGCTTGTCTTATATAATAAATATATGAATCATCCAAATATTTTTACACAGTGTAAATTTAGAATGAATTTTTGAGGCATATCTAGTAAATTTGGTTTACAACTTTATTATTTTTTTTTAAATGTTTTAAATTATTAACATTAAAAACTCATTATTTATAAAATTATATAATATAACTATATAATTAATAATTATGAAGAGGTAATGAGCCTTTTCTATGGAGCACTTAAGAATATTACCATTTACTGTGTTCCATTCTAACTAGATTCTGTTCAAGGACATAAACAGTACTTTTGTTTGTACTCGGACAAGAATGGAATGTAAAATAATATTTACAATCTATCAGTTTTTTTAATGAATAAAACAAAACTGTGTAAAAATAAAGATGGATTTTTATGATCATGTATATTATATTTTTTATATAATGGTATATTTATTATATAATGGAAAAAAATATTTCTTAGCAGTTAACAATTTGAATTTCTTGTTCAGTTTTGATAAACTGATTTGTTATTATCTATCTTGCCCATTATGTGAACTGTCAATAATATATATTTCAGAACCTGATCTCAACTTCACTTAAAGTTGTAATTTATAAATTATAGTCACACTTAACCCTCAACTAGTTGAATATAAAATATTGATAAATACACGCATGTTTTCTTTCAATTGTTGTATACATCATATGAATCTTTATTTTGTTCTTTTTTAATAATGTTATGCCGTTCTGTTTTTTCAATTAGGTTTTTATTTTAATAATTATATTTATTATGACAAAAATATCTCGTCCCACTTTTGTTCTAGAATCGTTTTGGGAATAGTGCTGATTAATTTTTGGCAAACATTGGCTGAGCAGTTTCTTCGTAATTAACTGTTAAAAAAAATCGATGTTTTTTATGAAGCTTATTTAAATATTAAACATATTAAAAATTATGGCTCTACTATAAGTGGTTGATGTTAAAAATTCATCAAAATTTGAAAAAATGAGCTGCGCTTTTTGGGCCTGAAAATCATTCAACATTTGACCTTTTGCTTGTTCGTTTTTCAATAATGTATAATATTTAAATCATTTGACGAAAATAATAAATAACTAAATTGTATAATATGGAATAGTATCTCAGATTATAATGCTTTTTATCAACTCGGTATGCTTATAAACACTTACAACATTAAGTTGATTATTTGAAACTTCGGGAATTTCATACAACTTGCCACTTATACATGTAGATTACTTCTAGCTTTTTGATATATTACGATGGAAAACGTGTTAAAACAATTAATATTTTGGGTTCCCTGCCGTTATATAAAAATTCTCATACTACTTACAAGATTCATATATTCATATTAAATACTAATAAGATTCTTACTAAGCAAACATTTCAACAATTCAAGTGATAAGTTCAAATTTTATTGAGGAATTTAAAATCCACATTTTTTATGATTAATTATAAGTAGTCTAATCTAGTCTTCTGCACATTGATATCATTCATTGCAATTACATTGTAGTTTTATTTTATTGATTTGATGCTGAAAATTAGAAGTTAGCATTCAAAATTTCGTGTGGGGGCGGAAAGTCTGTAGGAGTAATTGATATCGATATTCTAGTCAAAGTATTAGTGATATTACTAACAAAATAATAATATTCTATAACATTTCAATAATAAGGAAGAACTCTCATATTTACGTTTGTGCTGATCAATTAATAATGCAAGTCTTTAAAGAAATGATAAATTCAATAAATAATGATGTATTACTGGGCTGTTTTAAAATTCTGTTTGGTAGAAAAACTTTAAATTTTGATAAAAGTCAGTTTTATAAATATTAAAAATCTTTTTTTATTTATAGTAGTTTTGTTGTAAGATATCATACATTATTTTCCGATTTGAGTGCTGTATTATTTAAATGTTAAAAAATTATTACTTAAGAATTAAAATGATAAATATTAATAATTTATTTTCATATTATTTCAATTGAAGTGAAGTGCATATTGGAAAAACTTATTATTGAAACTTTTTTTCATAAATAATCAAAATATAATAATATATAGCTATTTATTATGTAGCATGATAAGCAAGATCATATATATGATTGAAATATAAAATTTATGTGAATGCTGCCTGTTATACTACTTTATTAAATCACATTGGGGGCTTTTCAGTTGCTGAAGAGTGTAAATGAATGAGCAATTGAGCATTTCTTAAAGATTAGAGGAACCAAAAATTGTTGATTACCAAATAAACAAAATTTTGTTGTTAGATATGTATTTACAGTATTTACATCACAAATTTGGAAACATATTTAAACATATTTTTGCAGTAAAAATAAATAAAAACTAATATTAAATTAAAATTAATAAATTCTAAAATAATGATTGAAATTTCTAGTCAAAATTGTAAACATACAATTGCAACTTAGCTCCTAGAATAAAATACTTAAGTTTGCCCATTACTCTAAAATAAATTTATTGAGCTTATTTTATAAGTAGATTCAAAAGTTTTCCTTGTATTTTTGTTTCAACATTATATAATGATTAAAATACAGCTACATTTGTAGTGTATTACTGCAAATATAGCTTACATAATTGTTTTAGTAATAAGAACTACTTCCACATGAAAGATAACATAATTACAATAATGTATATAAAAGTTAAAAATAGTTAAAAACTAGTTTAGGTACTCGACTATTATGTGCTAATTGATGACTTCTAAGATGACTAAATGCATTTACACATTAAAGTGAGATTCGAGATACATATAACATTTTCATATTTTTTGGAAGAAAAAAGCAAATTTGTTCGAATATTGTGCATGTGCAAATGACTTTAAAATTGTCGTTGATCATAAATGAATGAAAGAAAAAATTGAAAATATTAAAAACTCAATATTTTCTATTATTTCCATTTTGTTATTGTCAAATTTAATTACGAAGTACAGTGTAAAAATCAGCAAAATGTTAGATGTTATCTTCAATGATTTTGCTTTAGTTCTAATGTTTTCCATAATATTAACACCACTCTTGCACTTATTTATAAACAACGTGAAAAAATATATCTGTATTTAGTTTACATAACATTCAGATATGACACAATTCCAAATAATAAAAAAAAACTCCTTTCTGATTCTTTGTTTATGGATTTCATATTTGTCAACAATATTAAATATATTTATGAATCTGTTATTGCTATATTTTCTATAACAATAATATTAACATCTAAAGTTCAATTTAAAAAAAAAACTGAATAAATTGAGATTACATTTTGTATTAGAAATCTATTAAATGAACTTTTACGTCTTCCTAATTTCCTCACTTTTTTAGGTGTTTTGTTGCTGAAACAATATCTATATAGCTTTCTTTTAAGACATTTTTTCATACAATATGGATTAGAAATTTTAAAAAACAGTAATTTATAAGTACAGATCTTTATCTCTCTCCAGAATTGACCTGCAACAGGTCTAAAAAGTGCATGTTAGCCATCTAATGGAGGACCTAGATATATCATAGACACTTCAGTATTCCCGTATACAGCTGAAACAGTTGGATACAGTTTTTTCTCTGGCAAACCTAATAAAATCAATCACAATATGTCAATAATATTACAATCATATTACAGGCTGAAATAAAATTAGTATATTTTATGAGTTCGTGGTTATAATGGTGATTGGAGGATGTCAGGTGAGCAATTATTAACTGCTTGTAAATTAAATGTCTATGTGAAACTAGGTGCGTATAGATGCAGACTATTAAATCAGGTTATTAGTACTCTGCTTGAACTCTTCTATTCAAAGAAATTGAATCAAATAAATAATCAAAATTATTATTAATTTACATTGAAGAAACATGGGTTATTTCCACTAATGCAATGATTTTTTATTCACATAAAGATTTCATTTTCTGAAATTTATACTTAATTTATCACAAACAAATTGATTGGAAATTGTAACTATATAGCTTTCAAAATGAATGACAAAATAATTCTCACCTCGAAATGCAACACCTAAAAATTCATAATTTTTCTCAAAGGATAATGTGTTATCATCACAGTCTAGTATAACTCGTATTCGTTCACCAACCTGAAATTTAAATAAATTTAATTGCCAATTATATTGCTATTAAACAATTAAATTTACAAGTACATTTATCATAGGAATATCCACTTACTTGATATTTCGGTGCATTATTTAATAATGGATAATTTCCTTGCGCATCACCATTATGAAGCAAATGATTGTCTACTAAATTCCAACCCCAACTTTGATCATCTGATCCCAACAAAGCAACATATCCATGGCATTGCAGCGAAGCATCTTTCGTTGCAATTCCAATAACAGCTACAGTTCCAAGTGGGCCTTCCCATATGACTTCCCAAGTATGTCTACCATGACGAAAACCTATTTTACCTCGTGATGCATCTGTACTTTGAGCAACCGGATTTCTAGAACGTTGCAATTAATTTTATTATTATTTGAAAAAATGGAATCTAAGATTCAACGGCCTTATCAAAAAAAAAATTATATTACCTATGTAATGTAAATCCATTGGGCTTTATGTAGACATTTCTTGAACAATCATTAGGATTCCATGCATGATAAAAAGCTCGTAATTTTGATTTATAAGTAGGGAGAGAAGATAACAAATCAGATTTCAATGCTTCTTCTGCAAGCTTACTAATACAGTGCATTCTCCATACGTCATTGTTTTCATCATTCAAAAATCTGTACCAATTTTTACACACCAATGAACAATTTCTTAGTTCGTGCAAATCTAAATATGAAAATATCACTTCTAAGACATGGTCCGGAACCCTATCTGCAATAGAGTCGACCATCTTGCCGGTTTTGATATTGTTCTGCACACACTTATTTCACCAAGTTCACCATTATATTAAATTTAGAAGCACTAAATCATTGTTAAAAGATTTAAAAGAAATAATTGCAAATGCATAGTGTTAATAATTCACTAAAAATAAATAATTTGGCATTATATACACATTTCTTAACATTGTTGAATCTTACATAAATTGACATCTATTTTCGTTGGCAATTTTGACATGTTAAAATGTCAGACAGTGTTGTACCTGCCATCTGTTGGGAAATATTTAATAGAGTCATAAGAGGTTTGCCATGAGAGCCTGGGTCTCTTCATGTGGCATCTTTTTTATCTATGAGCGTATACTTATCTATTTTTTTCTATTTGAGCAAGTAGATAAAAGAAAGGGATCATAGAAAAATTAGCATACGTTTTATAGCCACAGTGAGCGAACTATATACTCTTCTTTTCTTTTTATATTTTATATCCCTTATGTCCATAGATAAAAGTAACGTAACGGCAGGATTGAAACATAGAGCCACTACAATAACGGATCACAAAAAAATCAACGGCACACGCGTTAATTCGCAGATGGCGCTGCATATATTTGTATTTGTGACGTTCATCAATTTCACCTCGCACAATTTTTGCAGTATAAAACGTGGTTAGTGGTTAACTTAAAATAGTGTTTTTTTCATTAGTTGCGTTGTTTTTAAACGCAGCGTGTGTTAAAAGATATTGCTATCATCAAATACGACTCATATGTTGGATTTTCATGGAGTTACAGTTACACATCGTTGTTATAAATATATGTATATGTTCATAACCTAAAATGTCTATTATATCTGGACAAAGCAATATTTCTTCTATATTAAAGAATCCTGCACATACTAGAAATAGTCTTTTAGTTCAGACTGCAAACAGAGTTAGATTTCAACTTCCTAACTCTAGTGATATTAAAACCGTGTTAGAAGGTGTATTGAAAGGTGACAATGTAAAGCAGTATGAGGAAATTTTGTGTGCACTTCGAGATTCTGACTTGAAAGTAATGAATAATTAAAGGTGCTATTTGGAGGAATAATTAAATAACTTTTTTTTCAAATTTTAGGATGAAAACTTATTTTCTTTCATTGAGGCAAGTAGAGAGTGTATATCATTATTAGGACGTGATGCAAGATCTTATGTGGAGGGAATTTTAAAAGTTAATTGGCCTTTACAGTCAAACCATATAGTGAATACATACCAGACTTTTCTATTAGAATTATTAACGGCACACAATTATCATGTTCCCCTAGCATTAGAAAAGTTAGTTAGGTTTTTCTATTTTGGTAAGCTTTTTTAACTAAATTTTTACATCATTAATATTTTTTAGTTTCTTTGCAATATTTCCAACTTACATACTGTTTTTGTAGAAACCACGGGTTTCTTCATATATTACTTTGCTAATATAGATATGAAATATTTAAATGGATTTTATGGATTAATACATAAATTAATAATTAATTATTTTCAAAAATGTGTTATCCTAGAACTTTACAATATCCGTGAAAATTAAATAAAATAAAATTAACAGTCAATGTATTATGAACCAACTTTCAATATTGTTCTTGCAATCTCATTTCTTTAACAACATATTGTATTAAACCTCATTATGAACTTTTTTTTAACTTCATGTTTTAGAGTTTACACAGATTTAATATGTTGTAATGTAATAAAACTTAACTAATATAAAACATACTAATGCAATGAAATTAAAAAAATACTTTATAGTTTTTTTTTATTTTATTTTTCAAGATGGGTGCTGGTTAAATGGAAAACCAACAGAAGTAGGTTGGAAAGTGTTTTCATCAATACATCATGTTTTGGAGAAAATTTTTACAATTATTCCAATGTAAGTAATAACTTTGTTGAAGCATTTATATTTTCTGACTAAATTTTACTAATTGTAAAACAATATTTTAGATCATGTAATATTTTCATGCAAGCAGTAGCAACATCATATCCTTACTATAAGAAGAGCTGTGAAGAAAATGAATCATACTTATTTAATTTATTGTCAGTTTTAAAATATAAGCCACGCTTGCGTTCAGAAATTCTTGTATTAGTAATTAACAGGTAAATATTTAAATATTTTTGGAATTCTTGTGTTGAATGTTTTCAAATATGTGTCCATATTTAGATTGATTATTCTGGATGTACATGCCCCTAAATCCGATATAGAAGAATGTGATACAGTTGAGGATGGAGATGAAACACAATATGATATGGACACTGCAGATAACGATAATTTTCAGATGAAGCATCCCATTGCAAATACTCTTGACTGTTGTATGTTACAACTATTTGAATTTATTAAGAATGAATGTTATGAAAATGATGAACTCAATTATAAGAAATCAGAAAAACTATATAAAGACATATTCAAATATTTGAGGATATCATATTACCTACTCATGCTGTGCATCATGTGCAATTTATAATGTTTTATATATGTAGTTTTAAGGTAATAGCAATACATTTATTTATTATAAATGTTTTATATCATCATATGTTTGAATCCATTGTTTAATTTTTGCTTGTTTAAACTCAAAACAGCCAATGAAGACACTTTATTCAAAAGCATTTAATTGCACTCCTTCTTTATTAGTGATTATAAATTACAGTGCAAAATTATTATATGTACATGAGTAATTTGATCATCATTTTGCTAAGTAATTTTATTTTTTAGTTGGTATTTGCAGAGGCTTTTCTTAATTTTTTGTGGAAAAAGGTTTCAAATCCAAATGTTGCTATAGTGCAACGACAAGTTTCCATTTGTTATATCGCAAGTTTACTTGCAAGAGCAAAGTTTATACCAATTTCGTAAGTATTTGAACCCTATAATGTTAATTTAGCTTACTATTTTTATTTTCCATATTTTTCTTGATTGTTGTATCTATCCATTTTTTTAAGGATGATACGAGCCATGCTTTTTGAAATGTCGGCTTGGTTACAATTTTATGTGAAGCGGCAAGATTCTATTGTTGATACACATGGTTCATCACGTAAAGGCGGGGCATCAGCTCATGGAGTCTTTTATACAGTAGCGCAGGCACTATTTTATGTTATTGCATTTCGACATAAAGATTTAACAAATACAAAGAAAAGTATGATTTTGTTAGTTGATTTTAGTTGGTATCAAATTTACATTTATATTTTATTTCAGATTTAATATTTCTTCAATCATTAAATTTAACTAAATTAGTAACATGTCCATTAAATCCATTAAGATATTGCCTTCCTATTGTTGCCCAAAATTTTGCTGCTGTTACACGAGCAGAGCAATTGGTGTATTGTTACACAATAATGGAACGCAATGAACGAAATAATATGGCAGTAATGTATGGTGAACAAATTGTAAGAGCACATGAAAGTCTGGATACATTTTTTCCATTTGATCCTTATATTTTGAGCAGGTGCGTTAAGTAAATATTGATTCAAATATGAATGAGTGGTGAAAGATATATAATATAAAGTTTTCCAGGCATCCATTCAATTATAAAATAATGAGTATTAAGTGATTTATAATTTTCATTATTTAAGCATAAATTTTGACATTTAATCTATATATATATACACATTTTTTTATTTATTGATATATGTTCGCAGGTCGGGTTTGATAGTAGAGGATATATATTTAAAATATGAGTCTTCACTTTCAACAAATAGCATTGATTATAAGCGCTCAGGTTTGCCTATGGAGGAAGATGACTTTCTACTAGATCAATCATTTAATGACAGTGTCTCAAGCACTAAAAAAAATAAAACCCCTCACAAATTTTCTTACGGATCATCTCCTGGATTCAAAACCTAATATTTAAATAAAAATTGTAATATGAATATTATTTAATTGTATATAGAAATATATATATAGCTTACATGATTGTAAATTAATATTGTTAACCAAATTTATTATAATTTTAGAACTAACACTTTTGGCACATTTTCTTCAGTAACTCATTTTCAAGATTCAGATAATATGGATGTCCCTGAATTTTAATAACGCAATTCTAAATTTTAATATGATGCAAAAATTTATAGAATATATAAAATAGCAGTGTTTAAGTAAAGATTCAAGGTCATATTGAATTTAAGATGTTCTTTAATCAAAAGTAGTATTATTTATGAAAACTATATTCATATTTATATGGCATGCAGCTAATAATTATTAGTGAACTAGGAAATTTACTGAAGTGCAGTTGATATTCAAAATTATTAAATTATAAAACCAATATGCATAAGTAACAAAAAGCAAATGATCCTGTGTTATATCTCACTGATGGCTAATTACAAACAGTGAGACCCCAGATATAAAAGCTTGTGGAAGGTGTAGTGAAATTTTGATAATTCTAACCATTAATTAAGTAATAACCATCATTCATCCAGGTAAGTTTGATACATCTTTGAAATCTATTTATTACTTATCGAACAAATTACTATGTAATATTACTTAATACAATTATTATACTCCTGAATGCTATGGACATGCAAACAAAAAGATCAAATTTCTTTCTATAAACTGGGACACTTTGAAAACATAATAATGATGGTATTGAAATATATAACGCACTTAAAAATATATAGAAAAGGCTGTTACCATGACTAATATTTATTGCAAAAATTACAATTTATAAATATTTCAGACTTTCCTTAAATAAATCATTTGATCATAATCTAATACTAAATATATTGTTATAGATTCATAGGAATACCATGAGGAGTTATATATGCTATAAATTCTTGGCGTAATTGACTAACAAGTTGTAAATTTTATACAATATATAATTTTTTATATCAAATGTCTTACAGTAGCATGTTGCAAAGGAATATTGCATAAGAATGCGGAATAATTACATACACATCATTTGCAAATTCTTTATCAAAATAGTTTTAATTGTAAGTAATTATGTGCATAATAGTATAAAAATACTTAATAGAAAATTATGACAAGATTGCCACACTTTTGCGATGGCCTCCAGGATTGTTCATATTATCGAGACTTGACCACTTTTTGAGTCCGTTTGTTAACATTTCTTGTGTAATTTTATCTTGCATTACCAAAGACATGGCTTCAAGTTTTTGAGCTCGATCCTTGCTAAGTGGTTCACTAGGAAATGAGAGATCATTCGCTTCTGCTAATGTTCTTAAATCAAAGTAATATTTGGCATAAACACTTGATGGAACATTAATATTGAACTGTAGCATTTCTAAAAATTGCCTTTCAAGTTCATTCATATCTTCTATGGTTAAATCTTTCAAGATTTGACAATAATCAATATTCCATATAGCCTGATCATCCATGACCTTGCTGGCGAGCAAAATAGCACCCAATACAATTCTTTTCCAATTTGCAGCAGAAACATCAAGTTCTACATAAGTCAACAATCTTTCTAAATAAATCAATGTTATGATTGCACATTCTGCAGTGAGCTGTGCAGCATTGAACATTGTTCTGACAAATTTATAAATTTGCCTATGTTCAGGATTTTGTTTATCATAATTATCACATACTGGGTCCTTTGTTAAAGGATGCAACTTTTCGTCAAAAATATCTAATGATCTATCACTAGTACGGTTTTTGATGTGATAATAAATAGCAAGCGCAACACACTTCACAGTGTTCTTTAAATTTGGTTGTGTAACAGTGCTATCATCAAGATATATTGTGGAGCACGAGCTACTCTTTTTTAATACTCTCAAATCTGATGTAGACTTTTTCAATTCTGATATTTGCTGTTGACTCTTTTTCCTTGTAATACCATTTTCAACAAATTGTTGAGAACGTTCCATAAACAATGTTTGGGCTGATGGATGAACGCTAGGGTCCATATCGCCTCCATCAGCTTCTCGCTCACTTATGTGAGGTAAATTTGAAACACTCACTTCATGCTCAGTAGAATTATGTTCTTCAACATTGTTTGCACTAATTGTTCCATGCAGTCTTGTTTTTCTGGAAGCAGGAGGTGTTGTATGTGAACAACAGCTGTGTGCAGTTCCCATTTTTTTTATTTCACTATATCAAAAACTAAACAAAACAAAAACTTTTCAAAAAAAGTAAACAGTGAACATTGGGTAATCCTGGCTCTGAAGATTAAGATACTACTTTAACATGTTTAAAAGGAAGTTGATGAGAATTGATGAAATATGTAGCACATCTATTTATTTTGTACAGTATTTTAAATGTCATGATTTCATAAAAACAACATTCATTGTGTATCTTGGGACTACGCCTTTAACTTAAATGCATATGCCGGCAAAATGCAAATTTTTGTATTAAGGAATGTACAATAATTATGTTACTAAATAGTTTTATAATGTGCAATTGAAAAACATTAACGAAGGACACTTAAAAAATATGCTTTTCATATACATTTTTGAGAAGCAGAGACACAAAAGTGCTTATTTGATGCAGACAAAAGTCAAAAATACAGCGTGAACATTTTTCTTTTATCACAACGTCAACCTACATTCGTTGGATAACACCAAAGACAAATAGAGGGTAGACCTTTATTCAACTCGACATAAAAGTAAATTTTACGATTTTTGCATGCAGTTCAACAAGATAGTAATATTATTGCAATTGATATCAATTTTAAAAATGCAGTCAATTCAATTATGAACAGCGAATGTAGTTTTCCGATCCTACCGACTGTTGAATGAGAAAAATGATATCACGTGTCACATGGCTGCGACTCCGTGAGTATCCTGTCCCGCTGTATCTCTTTTTCGTGGTTTCTGTCATGTAAGACTGCTTCTTTCACATCTGTCAAATATTTAGTCAAAGTTTTCGTGTGCAATAATTGTAAACAATGTTCTTCCAGCTGAAAGTATTTATTTAATAAATTTCTAGATAAATTTTTCGAATGCGATCAGAGCAGACATTATTGTCATTTCTATTCGCCAATTTGCTTTAATTGGCAATTTATTTCTCTTAATTTTATTAAGATGGGAACTCTAGAAGACAAAATATTAGGAAATAAGCTTCATAATTATTGTAGCAGCAGCGAAGATGAAGGTGAATGTGATTCTGACAGTGAAAACGTTAAAGAGCAATCAGAACAAACAAATGTGGAGAATAAACAAGGTTTGACATTAGAAGATCCAACAAAATGGACTGGCCAGAGTGCTAACACTGGACCAAAAGGAGTTATAAAAGACTGGCAAAGGTTTAAGCAATTGGAAACTGAGCAGAGAGCTCATCAAGAGCAAGAGCGTTTAAACTTAATCAAATCTTTGAGTATCACATGTAAAACAGCTGCAGAAGAAGAAAAGCAAAAGGAGTTAGATGATGAACTGGAAGACTTGATGAATGATGATTTCATTCTCGAGTTTCAGAAACAGAGAATGAAAGAAATGCTGAAACAAAACAGCAATATGCTAACATTTGGTCAAGTTCAATCATTGCAATCCCAAGATGACTTTTTAAATGCTATTGATAATGAAAATAAAATGGTTACTATAATTATTCATATTTATGAAAATAATGTTAAGGCATGCCAGACTATGAATAAATGTTTAGACACTTTAGCAATAGAATACAACAATATAAAATTTTGTAAAATAATAGGATCTATCGCGGGTTTGAGTAGATCATTTAAAATTCAAGGTGTTCCTGCTATTTTAGTTTATAAAGATGGTCAGCTTATGGGAAATTTTGTCAGAATTTCTGATGATTTAGGTGATGAGTTTCCTGCTTCAGATGTTGAAAGCTTTTTAATAGAGCATGGCTTAATTGCTGACAGATTATGTGTACCAAAAATTATTACAGGAGAAAATATTTAATATTATATGAAATTCAAAGTAATGTTAGAGGTCTATAAATTAATTTACACTTCAATGATCTATATGCATTTATAATGTTTTTATAAGAACACATATAAATTTTATACAATTGCAATGCGCTCTGGTAATTCAAAATATTTGAATAACTTATAACTCATTTACACAAATGCATATATATATATATATATATATGCATACCTATTCTATTAAGTGCAACTTTTAGTTATGCTTTTAATATTATGATATATTATTAAATTATAATATAAGTAGTAGTTGGGTATATCAATATTAGCCACGAGGAATGAAGATAGTTCCATTCAGAGATTATCATAAAATGTATTAAAATTGTTCTAATCGAATGTGAATGTAGAAATTATACATGAGAAAAATATAAATTAAAAATTAACTTAATTAACAATGAAATTGTTTTATACAAATTAATTAATCATGAAGAAGTTAAGCATAAGTTGAAGATAGAATATATATAATTAGATTATTATATTGTCTAGGAATTCAATGATAATCGATTTAATGAGTTGACATAAAAATCACATGATTTTCAGAGAGTTATGTAGAAAGTATAAATCTCTTCTAGAGAATGATTTGTTTAAATGATGCAACAGTTAAATTACAATTGAAATAAGATTGGAAATATTATATGGATATATTTTATATTCATATCCATTTCATTCTATATATACAGATTATATATTATTATTTAGATATATATATTAAATTATTATTTTCAATTTTAAAAAACATCGGTAACTTCCACCAAAATGTCTATTATTTATCACATCCATTTTCAACTCCATTCTTCAATTTAACTACTGGCCATTTAGAAGACATCACTCAACAATACAGCAATGCAACAGAATAACCAACTCAATCCTCACAGCCCTGAATAAAAAAGAATTTTGTGTAGCAGTTTTTCTAGACATCAGCCAGGCCTTCGACAAAGTTTGGCACATGGGATTATTATATAAATTAAAGAAAACATTTCCAAAATATTTCACAATTTTGGAATCTTACTTATCAAATAGAACCTTTCAAATTAAAGAAAATGAAGAACTCTCCCCTCCAAAACCAATTCATTCCGGTGTTCCGCAAGGCAGTGCTCTCAGTCCAATACTATATTTGCTATACACCAGTGATATGCCACTCGATCCGACATTAACGATAAGCACCTATGCTGATGACATTGCTATAACCTCAAGTCATGAAGATGTAACAACAGCTACTTTTTTACTTCAAAATTACCTGGCGAAAATAGAACTATGGCTAGATAAATGGAACATAAAAACTAACGCTAAGAAATCTCAACACCTCATCATTTCACTGAGAAGTCACACAAGTCCTGACTTGTATTTGAATAAGACAATTATACCAAACCAGGATTCCGTAAAATACCTGGGAATACATTTAGACAGTAAACTAAATTGGAAAACGCATATTTTAAAGAAAAAAAAACAAATAGATTTGAAACTGAAGGAAATAAACTGGCTAATGAGAAGATCATCTAAACTGTCTCTAGAAAATAAACTCCTCTTATACAAAGCAATAATAATCCCAATATGGACTTATGGGATAGAGCTATGGGGCTGCGCCAGCGAGAGTAACATTCAAATAATCCAGAGAGTACAAAACAAAACTCTGAGAATGATTTGTAAGGCTCCGTGGTTTATGACCAACCACATGATCCATAAAGACCTAAAAATTCCAACAGTTGCGGAAGTTATTAAGAACAGAAGTTTTATCTTTCAAAACAAATTGGATGCACACGTCAATCCGGAAATGCAAATAGTACAAACAGCCGAAAAATTAAAACGCCTGAAAAGAAAATGGCCCAGTGATCTACCGTCAACAACATAATTTCCCTGTTTCGCACAGGAAAATTTTCAAACAAGTTATTTTTAATTATTATTTATTATTGATTATCGTTTTTATTATTAATACTATTATTTTAATTATTATTTATTCATTCATTTATTCTATTTCTTTTCTTTAATTTCCTTTATTCTATTTTTTTTCTTTTTGATTTTGATTTTCAATACCATAACTTTTAACTTATAGATTGTATTGTAATCTGATTGTTAAAATTAACAGAAATAAAAAAAAAAAAAAAAAAAAAAAAAAAACATCGGCACACTAGCGCTCAGTGGATCGTACAGGAACTAACTCATAATCATAACTGATATTGACATTTCGACAATATTGACGTTTGTGCTGTAGTTGTAGCCAAATATTTAAGAATTATTGTAATTTCATTATTTTAAATTGAATTATAAATGAAAATAGGAAAGCAGTCATAACGGTAGCATTATAATATATGATTGTGAAAAATCTTACACACTAAACTGTAAAATAATAACAAATTAAAAAAAAAACTCATGGAGATAATTCCTATAAAAATACTGTTATATTATATATATATTATTGAATTTTTTTATTTGTGAAAATAATCAAATCTATCTTGTGAAAATGGCTGATTCAAATACTCTGAGTTCAGACAAAAATCCAAGTGATAACTGTGATAATGAACTTAATACTTGCAACCCTTCTTTGTCATCAGAACTTCAAGCTGAGGAAATTGCAATCATGAAAGGTGATGCAATAGGAGATACTTTATATAGTGAACGTTTTGTATTGTCTACTTTAATACAATTAACTAAATACACAGATTTTAATGAATCTCTGGAAAAAGAACTATGTACTTTATGGGATATGACCATTGAACGAGATGTAGTTTTATTATTATTGGAACATAATAGTTTGGAACTTATTGCTAATATTATTCAAAATGAAACAAATGAAAGGTTAACTGAAATATTAGTGGGTATTGTTGCAAATATGTCCTGTTTATCAGAAACACGCAAAAAACTCTGTTTCGATAAAAAAACAATGGAAATTTTTTTAGATGTAATAAATACCCAAGATCCTTTAATACTTATACAACTAATGAGATTCATCACTTCGGTACTCATATTTGAAAATTCTGGTGATGAATATGTTTGGTTTCAACATTTTGAAAATAAAGTTGAGTTCATTGATCAATTAGCTTTTATTCTACATAACTCTACAAATTCAATTTTAATACTTAATGCATTAGAAGCCTTAATATCAATGTGTGCAAAGTTTGTCATGCTGGATATGGAAGACAATTCTTCAAGTACATTTATGCGAATGTTTGTTAAAGGCATTGTGGTGAGCGGTGTTATAGAAGCCTTTAAGCAAACAACTCCAATTCAGTTATTAGATGGTGATGACACAAATTTACCAACACAGAAGCAACAGAAGATTTGCAATTTATTTCTAGAAATCAATTGCATACTTACTCAATATGGGAATCATTCCATAAAAATTTATGAAGAGCATATCTCTGAAATACTCTCTTGTATGAATGTTATTCTTCACCCATTAACCAAAATAATGTATTTAGTTCCATTTACACAGAATACTCAAGGTATTGTAGAAAACATTACAGAAATTTTATCATCATTGGACGAGCCTTTTGATATAGGAGTAATCATAAAATTATACACCATTTGGAATTTAGCAGATATCGAAATTAACAAGTTTAAAAAAGAGTCAGCTGATGTCTGGGAAAAAGATAATTCAAATAATTCTCAAGAAGAAAGCATATGCGGAACAAATATCTGTATGGCTATTTCTGATTATTATATAAAAATTATCAGTAAATTGTCTGACAAAGATTTTATTCAAATTATACAAAATCATTTTACATTTGATATGATTCAAGAATTAGGTAAAAAATTGCTCAATATAGGTAGTGAGGAAGCAAATGAAGCCTACAATAAAATAAGAAAAGTATCACAAGCAATTTGGACTAAGAATATAGATCAATAAAACACAGTATTGTAATTCATCAGCATCGTTATTAATTTTATAAGTGCAATTTTCATAAATGTTAAAATAAAATTTGTATTACAATTTAATTTTATCAATACTAAATATAAAATATTTAATATAATGGTTTATTATTAGTAAAACGTGTAATGAGATCCCAAGCCCATTTTGGTTGATCTGTCGGAACCATATGCCCTGCATTTCGAACCATTACTTCTGTTAAATTTCCTGCTACTTTAGCATATCCAGCTATATGCTTATCGACAATCCAAGGTTTGCGTTCAGCAGTTTTGTATAGTGTTGCAGAACTAAAATTAAGTTGCTGTAAGTAATTAACAGTCAAAGGGTATGCTACAATAATATCTAGCTGGCCATTATAAATCAAACAACGATAATGAGAAAGAAGTTCAATTAACTGTGGTGCAATGGTATCCATAACATCAGCCTTCAAATGTTCCTCAACTTTCTTATCAACATTGAAAGGCAAATTTCCAACATGGATTGCTTTTCGTATGTCTTCCCTTTGAATAAATGCACCCATATATTCCATTTTAGAATCATCATCAGTTTGCAAGTAATTGAAATAATAATTAAAACCTGTTAAATTTTGAAATATTGACCCCTGAGTTGTCATATCGCCATTGAGCAATTCATCAAATATGTTAAAAGCTGCAATGAAATCCTTTTTCTTCAAGTCTTCAACAGCAATATCCTCATATTTATGGAACAAATCACGTCCTGATGCATCTAGAAGGCCTAATTGATACAAATAATCGCCATATTTCAATTGGTGCTCAGGATCGCAAAGACCATTGCCAATGGCTAATCCTTTCAAATTAATTTTAACTTGTGATGATGGATTATTAACATGAATTGCATAACTTACGGCAGGTACATATTTACCAGCATAAGATTCACCACTTACAAAGAAATCATTTTTTTGCAATTGCGGAAATAATAAAAAGAACTGTTGTAAGCAGTGCAGCAAATTCAATCCTACATCAAATTCATTAGATGAATAACCCAAATCATTTTCTGTAAAACTAAAACCGGTACCAACAGGATTATCAATATAAATTAAATTATGATTACGGGACCATGTGTACTTTCTTTTCTTTAATCCTTTTTTCGTTACATAAAATGGTCCGTTTTCAGTAAATAATCCCATTAAAGATGTTGCACCTGGACCACCTTGCAACCATAAAACTACTGGCGCATTAGGTGCGTCTAATTCAGCAGGAAAGAACCAAAAGAACAAATTAGAATTATATGTTTTATTAACAGTTAAGTATCCGGCATAGCTTTCAACATCTTGAAAACTCTCGTGATTCACCTTTGCTAATTTCTGAGCTTCTATAATTTTTCCACTTTCTATATACGGAGTTAAGAACAATGGGTCACCAGCATCTCCAAAAACTAACCTTTGTTGTATCCTTGGATATTGATTTATAAAACCGTTGATCTCAACGATAATTAAAGCAAAACAAACTACTAAAATACGCATGATTAAAAAGTCACTTTACTTCGGGCGAATTGTACCATTAAAATGTAATCTTATCGGTTCAACGGCTTCAGAAAATCAGACTCACCCGACTCGACGCTTTCTGTTCTAACTGACAGAACAAAATAAAGTCCTTTGGTAGTTTGTTGCTGTGACACTTGACCCTTGTTATCTATCACGTGACCTAAGGTCAAATTTCAGACCTGCAGTCTGAATATTGTCAATATTTGAAATGGAATATTTCTAATCGTTATTTATTTTTCAATTTAATCATTTAGTACAAAATTACGTTAGACCCCAATAAAATATTATATATTATTTTATAAAATAATAGTTTGAAATTCAAATCTAAACAGATATAAGTTTTATTTTCATTATAAAAATAGATATAAAATTGACTATATAAAACTTAATGGAATGATTGAGAAATTTGTTATTATAATTTGATAGCTTGATAACGATACAATTTAGAAGTTATTTAAATCGCAAAACTGGTAGACAATCATGTAGCTGATTTAATTCAATTATTGAAAAATATGAACTGAATTAATAAACTTAAGTATTTTTAAACGATATTCCACATATTTTGTCTTTTATTATTATTAAAAACAATGATTTTCAATAAAATTAATTATGAAACTCTTGTTCGAAAAAGTATAAAATGAATAACGTACGAATAATGAGTGTATTTCAAGAAAAAAATGTTTCTATTAACTTCCCACAGAAGAGAAATTTTCCTATAAACTTAAACTATCAAAGAATTTTTTTTTTTTTATTTACTATGATTATAATTAATACACGTTAAAAACGATTTATTTCCAAAAATACATTTAATTTTTTAATGAGAATTGTTTCCAGCTCCTTCCGCTTAAAGCGCTTCTATCGTTACCTATGCTCTTGTTATATTAGGATTTCAAGTCGTTTAGTGTTCACTCTCAGCTCTCAGCTCTCACGCTTATCTTTGGTTAAATCAGATCTTGCTGTGCATTGTGTCACTTGTAGCGGTTTGTTCGATTATAATATTTTCACGAAACAATGAAAGTAATATTGAGAAACAAATAATACAGATGTAGTTGATTTCGTACATTTTATAGCAGTCTTCACGATGGCCGCCGGTCCGATAGCAGAAAGAAATCAAGGTAGTTACCAAAAGAGATTTTGAATTTATAGGTTATTCTACTAAATTTATTTACAAATGTTTAATGTATCTTTCATTTGCAGATGCCACTATTTATGTTGGTGGTTTGGACGATAAAGTCTCAGAAAGTCTTATGTGGGAGTTATTTGTTCAATCTGGGCCTGTTGGTTAGTGTTTTACAAAGGATCCAAACAATTTGACTGGGTGATCCAGTTGCTTATCGATCATTCTACATGTTTCTTTTTGTTCTTTACTCACACACACATAAATAAATAATTAAATATATATATATATATATATATATATATATATATATTTATATATACTTTTAAGTTTCCTTGTTTAAGTTATAAGCATTCTATAGTAACAATTGAAACAATTTGTTGCTGTTGAACTTTATTTATTTGCATATATTTAAATTGAATTGAGATGAAACATTCTTAGAATATCAATTAACAGTATTTAATTCAATACCAATATCTCACAAACTTAATTAAAAATATTTTTTTAGTGAATGTCCATATGCCAAAAGATCGTGTTACTCAAATGCATCAAGGATATGGATTTGTTGAATTTCTGGGAGAAGAAGATGCAGACTATGCAATCAAAATTATGAACATGATAAAACTTTATGGAAAACCAATTAGGGTCAATAAAGCTTCAGCACATCAGAAAAATCTTGATGTCGGTGCCAATGTGTTTATAGGAAATCTGGACACAGAAGTTGATGAAAAATTATTGTATGACACATTTTCTGCTTTTGGAGTAATTCTTCAAACGCCGAAGGTACCAAATGTATTATGTTATTATTCCTATACTTAAAACTATAGATATTGTCTTGAATTGTGCATGTAATAATATATGCTAGTTGCATTAGAGGTTTTGGCAACAGGGTTCAATTCTGCACTGCTGGCATATAATATTAAAATTAAAATAAATTGTATTCTGCATTTTGCTAGATAATGAGGGATCCAGACACTGGTAATTCAAAGGGTTTTGCATTCATAAATTTTGCTAGTTTTGATGCTTCTGATGCTGCTATTGATGCAATGAATGGTCAACATCTGTGTAATAGACCTATATCGGTATCATATGCTTTTAAAAAAGAAGCTAGGGGAGAGCGACATGGTTCTGCTGCAGAACGGTGAGTTTTAGAAATAAATAATTTTTACATGAATTAACATTTATTTATACATATGAAATACATACGAGGTGTGTTCAAAAAGTACCCGGAATTACTAATAATTAAATTTCGCGGGTCTGGAGTGTCTGATTGTCAAAATTTTTTTTTATTGTGTTGGTATACATGCCCCTAAAGTATGATGAAATTTTCAGCTATATTCACTGTTTACTTTGTCTGTGGTAGTCGCTAAGGTTCGACGTGTTTTTCTGAGCTCGGCGATTTTTACAATGGAAGAATTGAAAAGTCAAAGAATTTGTATTAAATTTTGCGTAAAAAATGAAATAAAGTGTTGCAAAGTGCAAAAATTCACCAGATATGGCTCCGTGTGACTTTTTCCTATTCCCAAAGTTGAAGAGACCCATGAAAGGACGGCGGTTTTCCTCGATTGAAGAAAATCGCTGAGAGTGCTCAAGGACATATCAAAAAGTGAATATCAAGGGTGCTTCGAAAATTGGAAAAAACGCTGGCATAAGTGTATTATATCTGGGGGGGACTACTTTGAAGGGGACCACATTAATGTAGACGAATAAATAAATATTTTTTTGGAAAAACGAAAATTCCGGGTACTTTTTGAACAGACCTCGTAATTTGTATATAAATTCTAATTAAGTAAAATTACTCATACAGTTTGCTAGCTGCACAGAATCCATTATCACAAGCAGATAGGCCTCATCAATTGTTTGCTGATGCTCCAACTGGTGGCATGGGTATGGCACCACCTCCTCTACCAGGCATGATGCCACCTCCACCTCCCTTACCCCATCAGGCGGTTGCAGCAGTGGCGGCGCATCATATGGCTTCAATGATGAATACTATGATGCCGCCTCCACCACCTGTAACACCAACACCGCAAGGTAGCCTTCATCCACCACCTCCCCCGCCAGTTCCTCCGCCGCACATGCAACCACCACCACCGCCACCGGCGCCGCCACGAATGATGCCGCCTCCGCCACCATGGCAACCTCAAGGGGGTAAGTATCTCATCAATGAGAAAATCGTGAGATTTCTTTTATATATGCTTATATTTTAATATTATATTGTTTGCTTTTGGGTATATGCTCATTTATAATTATTATGTTATCATTGTATTGTATACATTGTAATTATTATATGTTATTATACATTGCTCACAAACATTTGAGATAAAATAATATAAATTATTAAAGCCAATTTTTTTAAACTATTTGTTTTTATAATTTCAGGTCCTGGTGGCAATATCCTCCACCTCCACCACCTCAACATTTTGGAAGTAACTTCAATGGTCGTCCACCTCCACCACCGAATTGGAGACCACCCCCACCAGGATTCAGACCACCACCACCTCCTGGATTTAGACCGCCACCACCACCTCCAGGAAATAATTATGCTCCACCACCACAAAATTTCAATGATAACTTTTCTTACTGATAAAATCAACAATGTTAGACATATTTATATAAATATGTGAAGGGATAGCGCATTGGAATATGAATATGTTTTGAATGTGATTTGAACGAGTACTTTTGTATGTTATGCTGAATAAATAAGGTAAAGAACTGATTTTTTTTATATAAATATATTTAATTTGAAAATATTGACATATAATTTTAATATTGATTGATATATGTTTAATATGATTATTGTACTCTTCATTTAGCCGATAATTTGTTTTATATTTGATTATGCAATCACGTTTTTTTTCCTTTGCTTTTTCGTTTTGCATTGTTTGCTGGAGATTTAACTTCTTCTGGAATTTGTTCCTCCTGTCCATCTTGATTTTGGAGCATAAACTCATTACATATGTCACTACCCTTCTCCTCCATAAATATTGGTGGAATCTTTGGCGTAAACTCTTCTACTTGAGCCAAAAGATTTTCAGCATAACCCGGCGTTAAATAGCGAATAACTTCCTCTGGGAAACATGCATTAATGTTGGCAATGTACTCCATTAATGTACTACCTATAAATGATTCATAAAATTTAATAACTTATATATTTGATTTAATAATTTATATTATAATAATTTAATAATATATCAATAATTATTTAAAATTAACAATGATTTAATAATCAAGAAAAAACAGTTTAATTTATTTAACAGAATTTAGTCATTTTTAGACAGTTTTTGAATTTTTGATATCAATTCAAGTTTGCAAATATTTATAATTTCTTGAGGAAATTGAACATTTTTTGTTAAACTTTCAATTGTTTTTATGTATAAAAAATGATTTTTCTATGGTTATCATGCCTAAGATATCCTTTAATATCTGAAATTCATTTTATGTAGAATTGTGATCATTAAAAAAGTTGCAGAGAAATAATCTTATTTTGTTTACCTGGTTCTGCTGGTATTTCTTGTACTTTTTTTAGACCTCCTGTTGTAACAAATAATCTTCTTGCACGTTGATCATGTGGAAGAATTTTGCTATATTGTCCTAGAATGTATTTAAGTATGCTTGGTGGAGAATCATAGAGAAGCGGCTCGAGAGCAGGCAGATGTAAACATTTTTGTAAGCACAACTTTAGGGCACATTTACATTTATTTTGCAAATCTTCAGAACTACTGCCTTTATATGTAACTCGACTAATCGAGGAAAGATCCCAGCTAATGCAATATGGTTGCAGTGCTCAGGAGTATGTTTACCTACATACATATAAAGCATTCATAATATCATTGTAATGTGCACATGATATGTCAACAAAATAAAATAAGAATAATGAAATGTTACCGATATGACTCAGAGCCCAAACAGCAGCAGTAAGAACTCTATCAGGTTGTTCATCTGCAATAACAGCTGCGATGACAGTAACAACTTTAGCCGCTATTAACGATAAAGCTAGTTGCTCCGATTGTCCGGCAATATAACCAATTGCGGTTAGTACGGCCACTTGTACATCAGGGTCTGGCAATGCAGTGAGCTCGATCAATGGCCCGCAAGCTCCAGAATTTACAACCAGTTGGGCCAACTCCACGGAATGTTTCACGATTTGCCGAACCTCAACGATACAAATTATAAATATATCGACACTAAATGATAAAAGTATGAAATAGCATATTGTCTTTATCATATTCAATAAATACATACCAAATCGGCCGCATTTACTCTGATTAATCTGTCCTCACTCATTAAAAGATGTAATGCCACCGGAAATACTTCCGCTTCTACACAAGCCTCAGCTAATTGTTGACTGTGAGAAGCTATTTGTGCCAATGTTGACAATACACATCTTTTCAATTTGTTGTCTTGATTGGCAAGACACTTGCTAAGGAAAAGTATTGTACCGCTTTCAGCAATATTCGCTGCCAGCGAAGGGCTGTGTTTGGCTATTTCAGATAAAGCCATCGCGGCGCTTTGCTTTAGGCAAAGTTCTGGTTGTTGTAGATTCAATACTATTAATGGTACAGCTCCTTGGTCTACAATGGCCCTTGCTAGCTCTGGTGAATGTTTCGCCATGTGAGCGATGCAAGCCATCGCACTTTCTTTAACTGTTATATCAAAATCCTCCAGGCGTCCAATGGCATATTCTAAGCCACCACAATGTTGCACCATCTGATGGTAGTTATAATATTTGAGCCAATCATTGACAAATTTTCAAGAAAATATTATCAATTTCAAATTAATAACAATCGCCAAATTAATAAATCTAATTAATATTATGATACTTACTGTAGCCAATTGTGTGCCATGCTTGGCAATGGATCTCAGAGCGAGGAGCACCGCGCGCTTATAGTGCACAAGATGATTATCTGCCGATTGCAGCATCACTTGCACGATATCAGCATTTACAATACTCAGGGCAACTTTTTCACTATGTCCTGCAAGACGTGCAAGGCCCAATGTTGCTAGTTGTACCACTGAATTGTTCGTGTCTTTTAACAGGCTTGAAAGGATTGCAATTGCTTTGGCACTAATTAGGCACTGGACATTCGTTGCCCTAATTGCTAAGTCGGAAACCTATAAATAAATATTGATACCTGTTACAATCATAGTGTTAACTCATTATTGTTCTAACTTTTTTATAGTGCATTCGTTCTGGATGAAGAAGATATATTACAACAGTGAATATTATAAAAGTATAATAATATAACAACCATTTTTTTAAATTAATTAAGATTACTTTTCGGATCTTATTATTATTTCATTTATCAAATTCTACTTTTGTATATTATCAATCAGATATTTATACCGTTTGGACAAAGTTCAAACGAGCACGCTCGTATTGCTCAAATACGTTCAAAATTGTGCGTGATGCCATTTCTGTACTTATTTCAACATCAATAAAAATTTATATATAAAAATTTTGGTGACAAGTGACACATTTATAACGTTTTGTTTTTTTTATATAAAATTTATTTTTTATTGCAGAAACTGAACAAATAAATTCTACTGATATCGCTTTTTTTAAATTAGTATCTTAACTATTTTTCTCTCAAATAAGCATACTTTGCTGTTAAAACAGACTTTAGTATGAATTTTTCAAAACCAATTTAAAAGTCATTATTTTTTCTGGAAAGTTCAAATAATTTAAAGTAATATCTTTCCGATTTTATAATTGTAAGACTAAACAATTTCTTATTCAGCGACGATATCTCCGATTCTAAGTGCAAGGCTGATGGTTTTTGATATTAATTAATATTTTTTACAAATAAACAAATGGTGAAATGATATTCTTATATAAATATTATTATTAGTATTGAATTTTGTGATATGTGTGAAACGAAAATTAAATGTTAAATATGAACAATAAAACACTCAGATTTTTAACCCACACTTTATTTAATAATTACAAACGTTTCGAGATAATGGTATGCCCTAGCTTCAGGGTAATTTCAAAACAGTAAAAAATCAAATATAATTTAAATAAAATATTAAATAATTTATTAGTATATAGTTTTTACTGTTTTGAAATTACACTGAAGATGAGGCATACCATGATCTCGAAACGTCTGTAATTATTAAATAAAGTGAGGGTTAAAAATCTGAGTGTTGTATTGTTCATAATTAACATTTAATCATTAGTCAGTATAAATACAGTTATGAGAAAATCGTAAGCAACAAACAATTTGCTCAAAATATGTTTTTTTTCGTGACCTGATCCATAAATAATCGAAGTAAGCACAGGAAGTGGAAGTGGAAGTGGAAGTAAGCATATGTCATTTTATACTCTTTCTTTATCTATGTTTATACTCTTCTTTTATCTATGGACATCATCCATAAAATTATTAGTACGATCTGCTCTCACACTTATCTATGCGCTAATCCATACATAAAAAGGCAACGTGTGGAGGTTACCTGTCTAATGATTCGTTATTCCCGTATCTGTGGATAACGGATGTCACTTTTAGAGGTTGGTCATGAATGATTAGCCATAAATCACTCACTAGTAGAAGAAGTTGTTGTGGTTCATCACTTGAAGGAAAATTTTCTCATTCTTAGCTGTCGACCGATTTAAGGTTCTTGCAAAGGTAAGTGTTTTCACTTTTCATTTGTTGTAAAGATAAGTTATCTAATGATTAAAAAATGCGCGTGAGAGCTCTTGTGATACGCCGATGTATTCTTAAATGCATCTCGATTTATATTACATATAAATTTAGCTTTGTGTATCATTGTAGAGTTCTGTGAGGTGAAGATTATGAGATCTGAAGATAACTATTATACATTGCATGAAATATTCATATTTCATTTAACCGTATATTTTCTAATATAATTGTATATTTTTTCCAGGTGGTTTGCTCGTGTCGATATTACTTGTTTTGCTTTGTTTATGTGAGTATTGAAGTGCCCTTCTTTTATATTAACTATTATTATATCTATTTTAAAGTATAAAATTATCTAATGATTAAAAAATGCGCGTGAGGGCTTATTTGATATACGGTGCATTATTAAATGCATCTCGATTTATGTTTTACATAAGTTTAGCTTTTGTGTATCATTATTGAGCCCTGTGAGGTGAAGATTATGAGATCTGAAGAT